GAATAACCCCCACTTGGTCATGGTGTATAATCCTTTTTGTATCTTGTTGGATTAAGTTTGTTGGTATTTTGATGAGGATTTTTGCATTTATATTCGTGAAGGATATTGGCCTGTGGTTTTCTTGTGATGTCTGTGGCTGGTATTGGTATCAGGGTACCAAAGAGGTACTCAGTACTCATATGAGGACTGGTCTCAGAGTGAGTTGGGAAGCATTTCTTTCTTCTTTTTTTTTTTTTTTTTTTGAAGAGCTTATGAACAACTGGCATTAATTCTTCTTTAAATGTTTGGTAGAACTAGCCAGTGAAGCCATCTGGGCCTGTGTTTCTTTTTGTTCTCATTATATTCATACAAAATCAGCGGCTAGCACAGGCCTGTCTGTGTGTTAGGTGTTGGGCAGTATGGAACACACACAAGGAATTTTTATTTCACTAGGATCGTGACGTGTGCACCAGACAGGTGTTCTGAGCACCTGTCCTGACCCATTCCGTGGAGTCACAAAGTGAGGTTCACCTCCCTGCCCTGCAGCGGGAAGGAAACTGTACCCCCACCGCTGGGGCAGGGAAGACACACTCACCATCATCCAGGATGACCAGCAGTGGAGCCAGAAGGTCGCACATGCCCTGGACATAGCCGATCTCAATGTGCTGCCAGATGTAGCTATGGGACATGCAAGGGACCCAGTGACCGCATGCACAACCTGCCCCTCCCCCACTCTTCCTTTCCCTCCTCCCGCATTCGGTCTCCCACCCTTCACCAGGGCCATGTCCTCAGTATCCTGTCTGCATCCCCACCCCCAGCCTTACTCTCTCCAAACACCCTATGTGCAGCCACCAGGGTCACCTCCCTAAAGTCCATCTCTGGAAGGCTGCACAGGCTCAAAAAGCCTCACGAGCTCCCTGCTGTCTGATGGGATGATGTACAAACTCCTTTACTGGCAGTACAGGGCATTTATAATCCCTTCCCAACTCATATTCACAGCTCGAACATCACTTCCTGGTTCCTCTTCCTCTCCAGCCACACTGAGGCATTCACTTTGCACAAACAAACCACACTTACGTCTCGGTGCCTTTGCCCTTGCAGTTCCCTCTGTCTAGAATTATGATCTACCCCTTACTAATAATAGCTTATATTTCTGAGCATTTCCTGCATATTCATTCCACTATACATGTATCGCATCATTTAATTTTCAAAATAATCACATGAAATAGGTACCATTATTAGCCCATTTCACAGATAAGGAGACTAAGGCATAGAAAGGTAAATGACACACCCAAAGTCATATACTTGATAATAAGTGGCAGAGACAGTATTTGAACTCAGGAAACCTTACTTTAGGATATGTGATCTTAACCTCTATGCTAAATAGTTTCTTTAGTTTTCTTAATTTTGTCAAAGCCCATCTTAAAGGTCACCACCTCTGTGAAGCCCTCCATGATTTCTCCCTATGCCATAACCAGGCAAAAGTCAGTCT